ATATGCCGAAAACAGCAATATGGATGGGCCTCATTCCCCTGAACCTGAGGGAGCCCCCAATACGGCAGCGTTGGGTAGGACCGCTCGGGAGAGGCTGCCGAAGAAGGACTAAGATGGCGATCTGTACTTTCAACGCACGAACGCTTGCATCCGAAGCTCACATCGAAGATCTGATGATGCAGGCCAGGAAGATCAAGTACGACGTCATCGGACTGACCGAGACGAGAAGGCACCGCCCGCTACACGCCGTTTTCGATACTGGAGAAGAACTGTTCCTTGGAACATGCGACAGCAGAGGCGTTGGCGGTGTGGGTGTCCTCGTCAACACGCACTTGGCCATAAACATCGATTCGTACGAAAGCCTTACGACCCGAATCGGACGTTTGAGATTGAGAAGATGTGGTTCAACTCCTGCTTTGACAATCTTCGTCGCCTACGCACCAACATCGAGCTACGACGAGGAGGAACACGAAGCATTTTATATGGAATTGGAGAAGTTCTACAAGGAAGATCATACCTTCTTCAAGGTCATCGTCGGCGACTTCAACGCCAAGATTGGCCCGAGAAGAACGGCTGAAGAACTTCACATCGGTACTCACGGAATGGATTGGAATGAGCAGGGCGAAAGACTGTCTGAGTTTATCATGTCGACCAACACCATCCATGGTAACTCGCAGTTCCAGAAGCCCTCTCACCTTCGTTGGACTTGGGAGTCACCTGATGGACAGTTCCATAACGAGATAGACCACATCATCTTCAATCGAAGGTTTTGCCTGACCGACGTCGCTGTTGTTCCGAAGTTCTACACGGGATCGGACCATCGTCTCCTCCGCGCAAAGTTCCACTTTTCGATGCGTGTTGAGAGAGCCTCGAAGTTCAGGAAGCGAAGCCCCAGGACAGTCATCAACTGGGATCACTTCACTTCTCTTGTCAGCTTATGGGAGGATTCCGTTATCGAGAACATCGACGAGGAATATCATCGGCTCGTTGAACACCTTCACGAGAGTGGCAGGAAGGCAGAGAGTTTGCAAGTCACCAAAGGACGTCTGTCTACGGAAACTCTCGAACTGATACGCCAACGTGGAGCCGCACGAGCTGCAGGCAATCACCAACTCACGTCCGAGCTTGCGAAGCTATGCAGAGAGGCGATAAAGGAAGATCTCAAGGAGCGAAGAGCAGCAGTATTAGCTGAAGCAGCAGAGGCTGGGAGGAGCATCCGTCCTATCGTTGCTAGCTTTTCGAAACTCATACAAAATATACGACCCCCTCTCTAAAAACTCATCAAAATACGACCCCCCGTTGGTACTTGTAGCAACAGTAGGACCGACCCTGGCTGGGAGGAGCATCCGCAATGCCCGCCGAAGCTTTGCCAGCTACAAGACCAAGATGACCTGCCTCCGACGTCCGGATGGAACAGTTACTGCATCCCGAAGGGCAATGGAGAAAGTCATCCACGACTTCTACTCGGATCTCTTCGATAGCCATGTCCATCTGCCCACTTATCAACTGCAACAGGATGGATACGTCGTCCCCTCAGTTCTCTCTTCCGAAGTCCGACACGCCATCAAGTCGGTGAAGAATCGTACAGCACCCGGTCTCGACAGGGTCAAACCGGAACATCTGAAGAATGCACCGCCAGTTATCATCAAAACTCTGGCTCGACTCTTCACGCGCTACCTGTCGGAATGCAAGGCCCACTCCGTGGAAAACCAGCAGGACCGTGTTGCTGTACAAGAAGGGAGACCTGGACGACATTGGCAACTATCGCCCAATCTGCCTGCTGTCTGTAATCTACAAGCTATTCACTCGAGTCATCCTTAACAGGATCGGCAGAATACTAGATGAAGGACAGCCATGCGAGCAAGCAGGGTTCGAAGAGGGTTCAGCACGATCGACCATATCCACACGGTTACAAGACTCATTGAAGTTTCACGAGAGTACAAGATGCCGCTTTGTCTCACGTTCATCGACTTGAAGAAGGCCTTCGACTCTGTGGAGACAGAAGCGGTCATCGAAGCCTTGGGCAACCAGGGCGTCCCTACTCAGTACATCAAGATTCTTCGTGAGCTCTACAGCAACTTTACGACCAGAATCTCACCATTCTACAAGGAGGTCATCATCGACGTCAAGAGAGGGGTTCGACAGGGCGACACCATCTCGCCCAAACTCTTCAGCGCCGCTCTCGAGAACGTCATGCGTCAACTGGAATGGGAAGACATGGGAGTGAAGGTCGACGGCCGGCAACTACACCACCTTCGTTTTGCTGACGACATCGTTCTTATAACGCCGAACATCGAGCAAGCGGAGCGAATGCTGGCTGATTTCGACTGCGCCTGTGGTAAGGTTGGTCTGCAGCTGAACCTAACGAAGACGATGTTTATGAGAAACGGATTGGTTCCTGATGCCCCATTCACGCTCAACGGAACGAACATCACCGAATGCTCCAGCTACGTGTACCTAGGTCGGGAAATCAATATGATGAACGATCTAGCTCCAGAGCTGAGCAGGAGGAAACGAGCGGCTTGGGGAGCGTATAAGAACATCGAGGGAGTAGTGAAGAAGACGAAGAACATCCGGCTCCGTGCCCACCTCTTCGATTCCGCTGTCCTTCCTGCCCTAACCTACGCCTCAGAGACTTGGACTCTGCGCAGGCAGGACGAGCATGCGGTCAGCGTTATCCAACGCGCTGTCGAGAGGACGATGCTAGGAGTAACCCTATACACGCAAGTGCAGAGGGGAATCCGGAGTGCCGAACTACGCCAACGATCGAAGATCAGGGACGCTGCCGTTTTCGCCAAGGAATCGAAGATAAGGTGGGCCGGACACGTCATGCGATTTTGCGATGACCGTTGGACCAGAGCGGTTACCGACTGGATCCCTCGGGACGTCAAACGAACACCTGGACGACCGCCGGCCCGATGGTCAGACTTCTTCACGAAAGCTCTGAACGAAAGGAATGAGGACTCGTGTCCCTCGAGCGAGGAGGGTCCACTGGACAACTCTTGCACGCGACAGGGACGAATGGAGACGTTGCTGGCGCCCGCTCGAGCAATTCGATGATCAACGGGACGACAGGTGATACAGGTGATACAGTGATCGGTCACTGGTTCAGTTTATTTCATCTCCTAGTTTGGTAACCCTTTGGAGTACACGGATATCTTTGAATGCATCTCATTTTTTCGTGTTTGGAAGCAGCGATGAATATCTGTCGTGGATTTTGCTAAAGTTTCATCTTTGATGACTTACGTAGAAATAAATATTGATGGTAAACACTGTCTCTACACAAGTGTCACATACAAAGGGGGGTCGTATCAAATCACCCATGAAGGGGGGGGGGTCGTAAAAAATTTCCAAAGAGTAACAACGATAGGGTTGACCCTGCTTAAGTGCCCTTTTATAAACCCCGATCTTGTACTGTCTGAATGTCATTGATGGAAGGGCGTTAGGATGAACAGCTAGCCATACCCCTGAGAGGTGAGGTGCGACCGATGGTGTTCAATGACGCCATCGAAGCCGCACCGCTCTCCAGCCATCGTTGTCTCTGCCTTTAAAGTTTCGTTTTGGTCAAAAGTGCCCAAAGACCCATTCCACATCAGCTTATTTGTAAAGCATACGAAAGGAAGAGAACATCAGAGTGTGATTCTTGCAGTTCATAGTCTTAGCACCGAGTGAGCCGCCATTGAAGAAAAAGGAAAAGGACCGTTGAAGACGTCCTTTCAACACTCATTTCTGAGCGTTGTATGATCTCACAGCGGAGAATCTCCAGAATTACTTCATTATGTGTATAAACCACAACTTCGGTGTGTCGATTTGTCGGCGTGAGAGGGGGAAATGCAGGGGGAGAGGAGAACAGTGAGGGAGGACATGGTGCTGCCGTGGCAGCCGGAGAGTAGAACAGGGAGAGAGGATGCAGGGAGGTAGAACAACCGCTTACGAGAGGGAGGGCTATATCCCTGTTGACGTATTACTCTAGATGTTGTGATTCTTAACACCCACAATGGCCATATATAAACACCGATCGAGCACACTCACTCTCATTCTATTTATTTTACACAAGTGGAAGGACCATATCGGAGACGTGAAGCTCACGCAGGGAAGCAACGTCTCGGCGGTTAACGGGGGACCAATCTGGTAAGAAATTACACCACCAAGAAGCTAAGGGAGCGTATAGGCAAGATAGTGGCAGACATCGACGGTGACTCGACTTCACACCCAAAGAGGGCTCACGGATAAAGGGTTTCTCCGAAGCAATATAAGCCCCTACAATCCTTAACTACATAGAATCTTGGGACCGCGAAGTGAGTAAATCGGCGTACCATGCTCTGGTACACCACCGGACCAGCCCACCTAGCTACTCATCCCAGCCCCTAACATTCTCCCTACACACACAAGAAGTTCATCTACCCCTCAGTTCACACCATAGGGACGGCAACGTTTAGAAATTGGAGATACTTTGGATTCCAACCGATGCACGATAAACATTCTATCAGTGTATCCATCAGAAAAACCCCTCGACCAATAAGGTCCCACACATAAAACCATGGAAAACAGTGAGATTTCCCTTGTGAGGTAGGTCGTGATATTGCAGAGAGACACAGCGCTGCGAGGAGAGGAAAACGCGAGAGAGTACGTCGTACGCGAGAGGGCGCAGATGCCACGTATGCCGCGATTGATAAGAGTGGCAGCGCTTTCAGCGCACAAGGAAGGCCTTACCGCCGTTGCAGCGCTTTTCAGTTGTGGCAGTGTTCCAGCTCCTGGGCTTGGGAACCACTCTTTCTCTCTCAAAGAGGAACTGGCTCTTGGCACCTAATCCCAAATCGTGGCTCTGATGAGAGGCTGTGCCTGATTTCTTCTTTCAGTTCCATAAAAGACACGTAAAATGATTACTGTTGTTTGATAGCTGGTCTTCGAACTTTTAATGAATCCAAAAAATAAACATAGATATGGTAGAATTTACAGACAACTTCAAGCTTGCTGGTTTAGGCGTTATGGGTAGTAATTTATCCATAGCCACCGCATCCACAACAGCCGCCGCACGGTGCATAGGTGGCCGGAGCCATTGTCGCGCAGTTACAGTTGAAGCAACCTGAACGGAGCCAATGTCAGCATTTGACGTTCATGCTCTAATCACGTACCACATCCATAATAACGCTTCGATCGCACAACTACGCCGTCGCCATCATCAGCAAGCAAATCCGGGGCGTCTTCGCTCGAACCCTGGTCCCTAAGTGCTACCTCGCCACTTATGGCTGTAGAACGACCGCCACTGGGAAGCGCTATTCCGATGCTGCTGTCGTGCTCGTCAACATCGTCTTGTGACTGGAAATAGAGAAATATATCCCTTGCAACTTAGTAAACAAAAAAAGCAAATTCAAATAGACCTTGATTGGTACAGGATCGAGCTCGTCTCCTAAAGCAGAATATTGAGCGATTTGGAGAGCCAAAATGCAGAAGACGATGAGAATTCCGGGCATTTTGCGAGTCCTTCCGATGTTGGCTTTTTATACCCGGTGGTCATGTATTTGCTTAGCGTATTTGTTGGCTCAAATCTCTTTATACAGCCTGCTTTTTGTTCGTTATTTTAATTAGCATATATAAATAAAGCGACAAAGCCCGCTCGAGAGTGAAGCCCAGATTTCGCGTGGAACTTCCTTTCAGCCTCATCTCCTCTTTTATATAGGACAATGAAGCGATGATGAATTAAAAAACTAAAAAAAACAAATCGAACCAAATGACTAAACCAATCCTCGAAGCATTCGCTGGTTCTGAGGAGAGTTCATGGCGAACTCTTCCTTGGCTGAGCTCAGTCCAAAAACGACAAGATTCCATGGCCCATGGAAGTCAGAGTTACATGGCAGAAATAGGTAGCATCACGAACGACGAAACAAAGGCGGTCAAACAGTCTTTTAACCAAAATAGCAAAAGACCATATCAAAACAGGAAGGATGACCCATTTTTGAATCCGTTTTTGGGATGAATCACTCCACGTGGTTCCCTGTCTGGACACAGGAAAT